AGAATCCTCTAACCGACCTGACTAACAGAAGACGATCGAAACCAGAAACTTACTCGAATGCCATTTTTTACGGTTTCGCCTCCGTCTGTCAATTGCCGAACTTTTCGAACAGGTGAGAAACTGCAGCCGCTTTCGAAGTCGAGCATCATATCGTTGACCGTCTGAACAGAATGGATGAAATTTCCCTTGCCGGACTGGAAACCATATGAGTCATCGATCGAAATGTGACGAAAATGGCTGTGGGAAAGTTAGAACCTCCCGCGTTCCTAAACCTGAGCAAACCTGAGGCGACAGCTACTGCAGTACTCTTCCCAAGACCCAAAGAGCTGTTCCTTTCTCAACACCCTTGACTTGATCGCTTTAACGACCTACCGAGCGACTCACCTCGACGATTATTTACCCTCACAATTTCAATAACTTGTTGGCAGTTCTGTTCGCTGGGCAACGCATCCGCATCGATCACCCGATCCATACCGATTACCGTTAGCATTGCCACGGTGTGCTACCAAAGTGTTCAATTTCGCAGTGCCGATCGATGAGGTGCGACTGTACTCCCTCACTTCCTCCGCCGAACTCTACTACACGTGCCATGTTTGTAATTGGGTGTTGCTTCTGTGACGAACTTTCTCCTGTCCGTATTAAGGCGCTACATTAACTTATCTAACAGCCCTGCTGTTTCTGGGCTTCTGTATCGATTCGCCTCAGCTTCTTTCGCCGACACACGTCGCGTACGTTCTAAGGTAATCCACGTACCGTCCTCAAGCAAGTCGCTAATTGCCGTAGACGCCCTGCCATTAGCTCGCTCTAATCCGTTTGAAGTCTGACTCTAAGAAGTTCTGCGCTAATACGTCGTCGAATGGTCTCTTAAGAGCTTTTCGCCGTTGGCCGGCTAAACGCCAGCCGATCGTCGGCGGCCGGCCGGCAAACGTGTCGTATGATTTGGAAGCGATGAATTCCGTTGGCATTAAGACTCACGTTATTGCGCAAAAACAACGTTCGAATGACTCGTACCATTAAGGCCGCGAATAAATGACCATTACGGTTTTAAAGCATTTACCGAAGTCGGACTCCGCAAACCTTAAACCGTATATTTTATTTTTACTTCCTCTCCCCCAACGTCACTCAGGGAAAAACAACGCAAGTGTAATTTTTGGGTGCTACCTCCTGTATGCGTTTATCGCGCCGAAAACTCGGCTAATAATCAACTCGCTGGCGAAAAATTGCTAGTCAAAGATTGGAAATTGTATTAGCAGTTAGTGTTTATCACTCAGTGGTAAGTCATGGAACAAAACACGAGCAAAACAGTTTTTCTGGGGATGATCGAGGAAACGGTGTTCAATTCAGTACAAGTTCACAGATAGAGAACAACAGTGAATTTAAAACGAAACAACAATTGTACGAACAAAAGAAAACAAGCATTGTTTACTGTTCAAAAAATGAAACCAGGTAAATTGTGTCAGAACAGCGAGTTCCGACGAATGTTTTTAATGGTGGTCCTTTTTAAAGTTATCCTCAAACGAACCCGACAGAGAAAACTACCTTATAATCGTTTTTTATACAGAAAAATTAAACCTTATTGTATGGGTTTATAACAAAGTGCTAGTTTACTGTATTAAAACTACCTTATGTTCTTCGAATAAGGATGACTTGTTCAACTCATTCTTGCTCCAAAAATAGTCAGATACCGTAACCGGTAAACACAACGGTAAATAGGGAAAAGCGGATATCACCTTACGTTCAGAGGATTTACGAAATCTGCTTAGTCCGAAAATTTCGACTGAAGCCCATACAACGGCTTCCAAAATACCACCATTAAATGCCAGGTATAAATATACTTTCTGATGAAAATTTACACGCAGGCACAGACGCAGCGCATAAAAATATATGGCTATCCACAGCACCAATTTAACACATTTATTCAGTTGCTCATTGTCCGTCGATTTGTGAACTTATTCATTTATTCATGCATTCGTTCGTTACGTCATTCATTCACAAATTTTACCAATCCCTCGTTCATTCCTCCATCCATTCATCATTTGTCGATTCATTCATTTATTCAGTAACGTCGCTCTTTCGTTATTTCCTAACACATTCGTTCATCCCGTCGCTGGTTTGTTCGCTTGCCCGTCATTGTCTCATTCCCTCACACATTCTCTCCTTCATTCGGTCAATTATTCGATTATTCGTTTGCTATTTCATTCATTTTTTCACTCATCAGTCAATCATCTATTCGTTTATTCTTTCATGAATTCGTTCGATCATTTATTGTTCATACTATCCGATATTTCACCATTTCTCTACTCGTTTTTTCATTTATTTTGTCATTGATTGAACCAAAAATCAATTTATTTAGTCAATATATCAATCAGTCATTTATTCATAACATTTTACCTTCTTTCACTCATTCGTTCACTCGTTCATTCTTTCGTCAATTTTTAAATGGACTCCAGCTGGGCAATGCAACGAAATTCCCAACCTTATCATTCCATTTCTATTTGTTTAGCAAAAAATGACGTTCGTCAACCACCATGTTTCGCAGCCATAGAGTATCGTCGACAGTTTCAACTCTGCTGATAAGTATGCCCCCGTGTCAGTCTTTTCAAGTAGAACATCGTTGACGAAGTGACGCCCATCAGACTGCCTTCCGATCTCACTGTCTATTAATTTCCCTGCCAAATTAGATGCAACCTCCGTTTTTGTCATATGCTTTTCATTGGCGACTGTTTAGGTCTTCTGCGCCATATCCGATTGCAAGTGCTTTGTCTTCGGTAGACTAGTATCTAATCCAACTTTGCTCCGGTCTTTCGAGTCCTTGCAAGCACTTCCAGGAGTTCGGTTCTACTCTCCAGTTAATCAACACAACGTCCTCCGCGAGTTTGATGCGAGATGGCTGACTCACCACTCTTCGTTGACCGCTATTTCTTTCTTCCCCTCTGTCCGTCTGAACATCATTTCTAGTCAGGCCAAGAATAGCGTCAAATAAATTGTCTCCCTGCTTGAAGCCTCTCTGGACAAGGACCCAGATGGGGTATGTCGAACAAACTGATATTCATCGTGCAAACAACTAGTTGTTGTGCTAATCAGGTTGATTATTCGTTTATCGATGCCTTGCAAACGCCCTTCTTACCGTAGTGTGCTTCACTGAGTTTAATTTGTCATCGACGACGGCAAATGAGTAGATGTAGTCAATATGCTCTTGTCAAAATTAATAGCGTACGAGATTTTGCTTCATAAATATCGCTCCTCATGGTTCCCACGATGTCTGCCTGTCAAATTAACTCATCATATGTCAAACAACATTAGAGCCGTACGTAAACATCAGTAATATTTATTTATGCATAACATTAAACCGAACATCATGTTTATGGGTTCATTAGCGAAACTGCCAGCTTTCGATACCGCCGGTCAGAAAATTTGAAATTAACCGAAAATCATATTTCCTGACCGGTATATCGAGCAGTTTCGTTAGTAAGGCCAGTGGTTAGTTTGGCTTCATTTAGTGCATTAATACATCTACGGACACGAATTTGTCTGCGATTGTCCAAGCACGTGTTTATTTCTGCCGGACTGTGCTGTTTGGCATCTTTACGGTGTAGGATCTAAAATACGAATCATCGTCTTGCTTAGCTGGCCTACTTGAGCGAAGGAGATGAACCGCGGATTAAGCTGCAATCAAGAGAAAACTTTTGCTTTCCTTCATTTAATTTTAGGCAGTGTCAATTTTTGCTG